CTCCTTCCTTCCATTATTGAACACATAAAATATAGCCAGTATGAAAACAAATAGGCAATACATACATTTTTATAAAGGAAAATAAATACATATATTTTATAAAGGAAACTAAAATGAGAGAACCCTATAATTCCAGATGACCATTGCTAGTATTTTGGTAAATCTTCTTACAGATTCATTCCCCATGTCTATGTGTTATAAATTAATACATATAATGTATTTTTCTTACAAAATAAGAGAAATAGGGGCAGCTGGTAGCATGGTGGTTAAAGTGGCTGGATCCTACATGGCCAATTTCCTGGACGCAGCAGCTTGAAAAATAGGCCAGGATGTGTGTGTGTGTGTGTGTGTGTGTGTGTGCCCAAAGTCCCAAGAGGAGAATGGAGAAGAGATTACAGCATGGTCACCCCCCACACCCAGGTGCTGTCTCACTTTCCCCCTCTCCACCTTTCTCCCTCTCTTTGTCTTTCTCTCTCCGGCAAGCTCACGCACTCTACAGCATATTAAAAGAAAAAAGAGAGAGAGAAATACTATAGGTACTATTTCACAACCAACATTTTTAGTTAGACAAAATGTCATGAATACTGTTTCAGAACATGCATGTTGATCTACACTACACTTTTGAAGGGCTGCATGCATTTTCTTTCTTTCTGGTGCTTGTGTTCATGGGATAGACGAGAGAGAGAGAGAGAGAGAGAGAGCAAGAAATCACCCCCTGGAGGATGGTCACACCACAGCCCCTTCTCTCAGGATTTTGGGCACACACCCACTTGAGTTTCAGGCTGCCAGGTCCAGGACTTAAACTGCAGTCAGCCACATGGAAGTACAGTGCCTTAACCACTACGCCACTTGCTGGCCCCATGCAGAGTGACTTTTAAGCCACTGAGTCCAGATTCAAATTGCTCAGTCAGCCATGTGAAATCTAGCTACCTTAACCATCATGCTGGCCCCCCTTTTTTTAAAAAAAAAAACTTTTTTCAGGTATGATTGACTGTACGTAGTTAATGTATACACTGTGATGAATATATGCCTATATAGTTGTAATAGTCAGAGGTTTCTCTTATTTTAATTTCATTCTAAATGTATTAAATTATATTTTTATTTGCTTCTTAGGTTCTCGTGTATATTTGCTAGTCGTAACAGTCGTTAACATCTGCCTGACTCTGTAATCTAGAAATACAATGCAATGTCAACCCACTCCAGACTACTGAGACTAATAGAAGAGTCAAATGGATGGAAGAGCTAAGAGATAAGCTAAGGAAAATGGCTTGAAAAAGATGAATGTAGGGACCAGCAGTTAGCGTAATGGCTATGTAGCTGGACTCTCATGTAGTCGACTGCGGTTCAAGTCCCGGACCCGGTGGCTTAAACTCACTCTGGGCACGTGTGCATGTGTGCCCAAAGATCCCGAGAGGAGAATGGAGAAGGATTATGGTGTGGCCATCCCCTCTGGGGGTGATTTCTCACTTTCTGTCTCTCTGTCTCTCTCTGTCTTTCTGGCGAGTGCATGCACCCAATAAGAAAAAACCTCTCCAAAAAAGGGGGAAAAAAAGATGAATATAAAACTCTCACAGGCTTAAATATCTCATTTATGGGACCAGCAGGTGGCATAGAGTTTAAGGCACTGGATCCCACATGGCCAACTGCGTGATTAGAGTCCCAGATCCAGTGGCTTGAAAGTTAAGCCAGGCATGTGTGCATGTGTGCCCAAAATCCTAAGAGGAGAAAGGAGAGGGACTGCAATATGGCCATCCACCTGCAGGGGGTGATTTCTCATTTTCCCTCTCTGTTTTTCTCCAGTGAGTGCATGTGCCATATAACAAAACTGAAAAAGGGGAGGGGTAGCATGTGACATGGTGGTTAAGGTGCTGGATTCCCATGTGGTCAACCACAGTTCAACTCCTGGATCCAGTGACTTAAAACTCACACCAAGCGTGGGTACACGCCCATCCAAAATACCAAACGAAGAATGGAGAAGGGATTGCTGCATAGCCATCCCCCAGGGAGTGATTTCTAACTTTCTCTTTCTCTCTCTGGTGAGTGCATGTATCCTATAGCAAAAATCTCTCTCTCTCAAAAAAAATGAACATTTATGTAAAGATCCAAATGAGTTTTTGTTTTGTTTTGTTTTGTAGAGTGATTTTTTCTATAGAGCGCGTGTACTCGCCAGAAAGACTGAGAGACAAAAAGCAGGGGGATAACCATGCCACAATCCCTTTTCCATTCTCCTGTTGGGAATTTGGTCATGCACACACACGTGCCTGGTGTGAGTTTCAAGCTGTCAGGTCTGGGACTCGAACCACTGTCGACTACGTCTGATTCCAGTCACATAACCATTACTCTACCTGCTGGTCCCAGAATGTTTTGGGTTTTATTTTTATTTATTTATTTTTTAAAAAGAATGATTTATTTAATTTTATTTATTCATTCACTTATTTTAATTTGACCAGACACACACACACACACAGAGAGAGAGAGAGAGAGAGAGAGAGAGAGGAGAGAGAGAGGGAGAGAGAGAAAGTGAGAAAGCAAGCCACCAGGTCCAGGACTGGAACCATGGTCGGCCATGTGGGAGTATCCAGCGCCTTAATCACCAAGCCACACCAGTCGGTCCCTTGGGTTTTATTTTTAATTGATTTATTTCTTCCGTGAGTGAGAGAGACAGAGACAGAGAGACAGGGAGTATCCCTAACAGGATCTTGATGCCATGATTCACCTGACCTCAGCCATCCTGGATTATGGACACCCACATGATTTCTGTACTCATGAAGATCTCCAGGTGCAAACCCAGAACCTTCCCATGTGGCTCAGCCTCATAGAGTCGTGTTTTACTCTTGTACCCCATCTAGCCTTCCCAAATGCATATTTCTTAATGGCTGTGGGGTGAGGTTTGGGGGCATTGCTTTGCCTCACAAAGTCATTGAGGGACCTAGCCTGTGAGTTCCAAGGTCACCATGGGCATTGGCATCCAGCTAGCAGATGAAGGAAGAGAGAAGGTGAAGAAGCCATACCCACTTTTAATAGAAGAAAAGGGATTGTGGTGTGGTCACCCCCTGAGGAATAATTTCTTACTTTCTGTCTCTCTGGTGAGTACATGTGTCCTATAGCAAAAATCGGTCTCTACAAAAACAAAACAAAACAAAAACAAACAACAGCAACAACAACAAACTAGTCATGAGAGCACACCATGGTGCAAGGAGGCCTGGGAAATGAAGTCCCTGTAAGAACTATCGCATATGAATTTTCCATTCTGGATGAACTTCTCATCATTCTGCCACAATGTGTTTTCTGCTTGTTTTGTTTTTAGAAGATTTTGCTACAGGGCATGTGTGCTCCCTGAAGAGAGAGACAGAGGCAGTGAGAGGCAAAGTGAGAAATCACCCCCCAGGGAGAATGGCCATGCTGCAATCCTTCTTCTCTTTTTTCTCCTGGGATCTTAGGCATGCACACACATGTGCCCAGTGTGATTTTCAAGCCACCAGGTCCAGCCCTTGAGGCATGGTCAGTCATGTGGAAGTCCAGTGACATAATCATTATACCACCTGCTGGCGCCTCTTTTGTGTTTTTAATTTTTTTAAATGTCATTTCTTCTTCTCCTCCTTCTCCTTCTCCTTCTCCTTCTCCTTCTCCTTCTTCTTCTTCTTCTTTTGGAGAGGTTTTTGCTATAGGGCACTTTGTGCTTTCCAGAAAGAGAGAGAGACATATAGAGACAGAAAGTGAGAAATCACCCCTCAGGGAGGATGGCCACCCCTTTTCTTCCATTCTCCTCTCGGGATCTTGGGCACTCACGCACATGGACCTGGAGTGAATTAAGCCACCGGGTCTGGGACTTGAACAGCAGTCAACTACATGGGAGTCCAGCTACATAGCCATTATGCCAACTGCTGGTCCCAGATGTCTTTATTTTTTTTGAGAGTTTTTTTTTTGCTATAGGGTGCATGCTCTCACCAGAAAGACAGAGACAGAAAGCGAGAAATCACCCCCTGGGGGGATGGCCACACAGCAATCCCTTCTCCACCACTCTCCTCTCGGGATCCTGGGCACACACACAAACGTGCCCGATGTGAGTTTAAGTCGTCGGGTCCGGGACTCGAACCGCAGTCAACTACATGGGAGTCCAGTGACATAGCCATTATGCTAATTGCTGGTCCCCCAAATGTAATTTTTTAAAAACATTTAATTATTGTACATCTCCACAGTAAAATGAATCTTCCCAGCATGAATACACTATCAGTCCAGTCAAAGACATTATGATACACATTATCATCAACATGAGAAGTCTGACTGCTTTTTCCTATTTTCCAAAATCCTTTCCAGAGGGAGGGAGTCATGCCCACAAACATTAACAGACCATTTTGACCCACTGGTAACAGGATTCTTCTTACTTGCCCCTGGTATAGTATCTTCGTGATGTATATTAAGCTTCCTTATCTCTGTTAAAGTACATTCTTTTCTGATCTCAGCAACCTTTCTTTTCAAATCACTTAAAAACTGTAAACCCACCTATACCCTACTTGCCCCGCCCCATTCCACCAATGGAAAAACTCTTCACTAAATTCTAAACCCTGTCTCTCATTCTCAAAATCAAATAAAAGGAATAGGGGTACCTGCTCATCCCAAGAAAGGCATATTTTGCCTCCTTTCAGGGCCTAGGTCACTCATATTCTGCTTAGAAATAAACCACTTTACTGATTATGTTTTACAGAGTTGGTTATTTTCCATTGACACACAGGTAATTTTCCATTTTTTGCTTGTTAAATGTTTTGCTCTCCCCCCCCTTTTTTTTTTTAATTCTCACCCTCCTCCCACACTGTCTCTATAAGTTATTAAGAAAAAAAAAGAAGAAAAGAAAGCATGGAAAACAACTGTGGATACTGCTTCTTTTTAAAAAAAAAAATTGCTAGAGGGCATGTATGCTTGAGACAGAGACAGATAGTGAGGGAAAGTGAAAAGGCATACCTCCTTCCACCACAGGGAATGGTCACACCACAATCCCTTCTCCTCCATTTCTCCTTTTGGGATTTTGGGCATCCATGCACCCTGTGTGTTTTTCAACCTGCTGGGGCCAAGACTAGAACTGTGCAGTCAGTCATGTGGGATCCCGGCACTTTAACTACCACAACATCAGCCAGCTTTGTTTTCTGCTTCTATAATATAATTTAGGAAAGTAATATGGTTCTCATGATGATCACTTGGGAACTACATCTTTGTGACCCCCACCCCCCTCCCTGAAGTCTTACGTTGAAATCTTGTCCCCAGTGATGGATGATAGGAGGTGGAGTCTTTGGGAAGTAATTAGGCCATGATGGGATTAGAACTTCTATTACAATAAAAGACACTGCATGAACTTGCTTCCTTCCCCTCTGCTCTCTGCCCTGTGAGGACAGGGCACAACTATGCAAATCAGGAAGCTGGTGCTCACCAGGCAAGGCATTCCTAGGCACCTTGATCTTGAACTTAATAGTGAGAAATAAATGACGGTGGCTTAAATTATCCAGTCTGTGGTCTTTTATTTTAGCAGCCAAAACTAAATAAGACATGAGATTTTAAAATATGAGAACTCAGGGGCCAGGTGGTGGCACAGTGGTAAGGTAACTGGACCCACATGAGAAAGGTCCTGGGTTGGTGTCCTGGAACCTCCCTGATCATGCTGGGCATGTGTATGTGCCTGTGATCGGAGCCAGCTGAGACTGGGGGATGGATCCTGGTGTAAAGGCCCTGTTGGGATGTAAGTCTCTCTTTCTCTTTCTCTGTCTTTCATGAAAGAAAGAAATATACTTAAAAAGGTGGGGGGGGCAGCAGGTGGTGTGGTGGTTGGGACACTGGATTCCCACATGGCCAACTGCAGTTTGAGTCCTAGACCCTTGTGGCTTGCTTTCTCACTTCCTCTCTCTTTCTCTCTCTCTCTCTGGTGAACTCTTGTGCCCTCTAGCAAATTTAATAATAATCATAATAATAATAAATACATTTCTAAAAAATTATTTTAGAAAAAAGAAAAAAAGATCAGCTAGTGGCATTGTGGATCCAGATAGCTGACTGCATGGTTCAAGTCCCAGACCTGATGGCTTGATAAACATGCCAGGTGCATGTGCATGTGTCTAAAACCCCAAAAGAAGTAAAGAATTAAGAAGATATTATGGCATGATTCTCCTCCATTGAGAGAAGAGTTAGACCCCCACTTACAGGCTGATAAGGTAAGGACTCTGAAAGGAAGTCACTGTGTTTTTCTTTTTAATGCAGTTTCTGTGTTTTTTTTTTTTTCTTTATGATTTGGTGATATATTTGAAATATATACCCCTTTTAAATGTCTTTAAAGAATTTAAGCTCCTTGCCATTAAAGCAGAGGATAGGGATATTGGGCACACAGAGATAATAAGGCCAAGATGGAATCCCAGTGACTGATTTTTCATAGCCAAAAGCTCTCTGCATTGGGACTCAAAGCAACTGTAGCTAAGAGCAACAGTTTCTAACAAGAAGTACAAAATGCTATGATTACTGACCCCACAAAAAAAAAAAAAAAGGGTAATAAATCACTCAGACTCCCATGTAATTATTTTCTAAAGCCCACTTCCTTATCAGAGAGTCAGCCCATTGCTCAGACTGCTAGATAAAAACCCCTCACCTTCATTTCCTTTTCTGCAACCCATTGGGAGCTTCGTTCTTTCTTTCCTCTCCTTAAGAAACTCTGCTTTACTCTCCTGTGTTCCCATCTCTAATTTGTCATGAGTGTAGGACTAGAACCAGCCCAGGTGTTGAGTCTGATCACTCAGCACTCCTGCTTCGCTGTAGGGAATTCTTTCTCACTGTCTGTCTGTCCTTCTCTGTGTCTTTCTCTGGTGGGTGCACATGCTCTCTGGCAAAATGTTTAAGAAAAAGTACTTAGGGGCCAGCAGGTTGCATGGTGGTTAAGGTATTGGATTCCACATGGCTGATTCCATGGTTCAAATCCTGGACCTGGTGATCTGAAAACACTTTGTGTAAATGTGTGTGCCTGCCTAAGATCCCAAGAGAAGAATAGAGAAGGGATTTCAGTGTGGCCATCCCTCTGGGGGGATGATTTCTCACTTTCCTTCTCTCTGTCTCTTTCTAGTGAGTGCCCGTGCCCTATGGTAAAAACCTAAAAAAAAAAAAAAAGAAAAAAAAAGTACTTAACATTAAGTTTGTGAGGTGAATAAGTCACTGAAAATTTAAAAAATCAACTTTAAATTTTGGAATAGTTCTGTATACACACAGTGTTCCTTCACAATCTGCACCCAGCTTCTCCCAATGTTAGCATCTTACATGACCATTGATAGGTATGTCAAAGCTAGGAAATTAACATTGGTATATTACCACTAATTACGTGACAGACTTTGTGCAAATTTCACGAATGTTTTCACTGTCCTTTTTATGTTCCAGGGATCTAATATGGAATACTATATTGCATTAAATCCTTCTCTCGCTTTCATTCTCTCTAGCCCAACCTGAGACAGTTTCTCAGTCTTTCCTTGTTTTTCATGACCTTGAAATTTTTTTTTGTCTGCTATAGGGTGCCTATGCTAGCCAGAGAGAGAGAGAGAGAGAAAGAGAGAGAAAGAGGGAGAGAGAGAAAGACAAAGAGAGAGGAAAAGTAAGAAATCACTCCTCAGGAGCATGGTCACATCATAATCCCTTCTCCTCCATTCTCCTCTCGGGATTTTAGGCACATGTGCCCGGCATGTTTTTCAAGCTGCCAGATCTGAGACTCAGATCACGTAGTTGGCCATATGGGATCCAGCCATCTTAAGCACCACGCCACTGGCTGGCCCCATTAAGGGAATGTCACACATCAATTGCTGTAGGAAGTACTGGTTGTGGATACATAGAAGACAAAATTCTCCAAATAGCAGTGACTTGAGCAAAATGGAGATTTGGTTTTTTCTCACTTAAAAAAGTCCAGAGCTGGGCAAACCTGGTTGCTCACAGTTCCATGATTCAGCAAGGGAATATAACAACACCCATTTTTTGCTCACTTTCCTCACTTGTGGCTTCCGTCCTCAGGTCGGCGACTTCAAACTCCCAGACGGCCGCTAGGATTAAGAAGAAAGACATAAAATAGGAGTCATCATCATAAACATTCTGGAAAATGAGTATTATAAGAAAAGTATAGACGCATTTCAAATTTTTTCGCACTAAAATAAACTTACCTAGCTATAGTTACATACTGGTTTTAAATATGTGTATGTATACATATTCATTTCTCTTTTTTTTAGAAAGTTTTTCCTTATTCTTGGTCAGAGTATGTGCACTCATGAGAGATAGAGTGATGAGAACTTCCGCAGGGCCTGGCGGTGCCACATTTCCCTAGCTTTAGTTCTTCAGCTCATCAGATCCTGGGCACTTGCATCTGTGTCCCCTCTTACAGGCTGACTGGGCCAGGGATTTGAACCACTGTGGTCATGTGGTATCTGGTTTCTTTCAAGTTGCATATTACCACTGTGCCATTGAGCTTGGTCTATATTCATCTTAAACAACCAAATACCTGTTAGCACCATAATCAGACACTACTTGCAATTATACTTGTATTAAAAGTCATTAGTCAAGTGGATTGTGTAAGTAGCAGAAAGGTAAACCTGTCAGGCAAATTCCTCTGGATGTCATAATACATCCGCCTAAGGGAGAGTTTTTAAAGATCTGATGAATCAATAGAAGAATAGGAAAGGAGAAAAGGGAGGGCATGGGAACAGGGAAGGACAAAAAGACTGGTTTTCAGAACACAGAAACCCACGTAGAGCTGTACAATGAATTACCATGGATGACAGCTTTGGAGATTTTTTTTTTTAATTTTTTGGAGAGATTTTGCTATAGGGCGTGCACACTCGCCAGAAAGACAGAGAGACAGAAAGCGAGAAATCATCCCCTGGGGGGATGGCCACGCCGCAATCCCTTCTCCTCCATTCTCCTCTCGGGATCTTGGGCACGCATGCACACACGCCTGGCGTGAGTTTAAGCCCCCAGTTTCGGGACTCTAACTGCGGTCGACTACATGGGAGTCCAACCACATAGCCATTACGCCAACTGCTGGTCCCAGATTTTTGTGATTTTTGAAAAGCCTTGATTTACACCTTCTGCTTTATTTGGTATGCTGGGCACTTTTCAGTCACAAAGACCTCTTGAAATAGGAGTTTATCCTTGCTTTTATTTATTTATTTTTTACTTACTTATTATTATTTTTGTTGTTATTTTTAAATTTACTATAGGGGATGTGTGCTCACCAGAGAGAAAGTGAGAAAGCAAGTCGCCAGGTCCATGGCTCAAACTGCAGCCAGTCATATGGGAGTCCAGTGCCTTAACCACCATGCCACCTACCAGCCCCCATTTTTTTTTTTTGAGAGATTTTTGCATGAGGCACGTTACTTACTTATTATTATTTTTGTTGTTATTTTTAAATTTACTATAGGGGATGTGTGCTCACCAGAGAGAAAGTGAGAAAGCAAGTCGCCAGGTCCATGGCTCAAACTGCAGCCAGTCATATGGGAGTCCAGTGCCTTAACCACCATGCCACCTACCAGCCCCCATTTTTTTTTTTTGAGAGATTTTTGCATGAGGCACGTGTACTCACCGGAGAGACAGAAAGTGAGAAATCATCCCCTGGGGAGATGACCATGCTGCAATCCCTTCTCCTCTATAATCCTCTCAGGATTTTGAGCACAAATGCACATGTACCCAGCATGAGTTTCAAGCTGCCAGGTCCGGAACTTCAACTGTGGTCAACTGCATGGGAGTTCAGTGCCTTAACCACTATGCCACCTATTGGCCCTCAATTTTTTTTTTCTTTTGAGAGAGACTTTTGCATAAGGCGCATGTACTCACCAGAGAGGCAGAGACAGAAAATGAGAAATCGCTCCCCCCCCACCAGGGAGGATGGCCATGTTGTAATCCCTTCTCCTCCATTCTCCTCTCAGGATTTTGGACATGAATGCACACATGTCCGGCATGAATTTTAAGCTACCAGGTCCAAGATTTGAAGCGTTGTTGACCATGTGGGAGTCTAGTGCCTTAACCACTATACCACTTGCTGGCTATCAATTTTTTTGTTTAACCTTTTTTGCTGTAAGGCACAACTGCTTGCCAGAGAAACAATGAAAAGGAAAGTGAGAGATTACATCTTAGAGGGGATGACCACGCCACAATCCCTTCTCTTCCATTTTACTCCTGGGATCCTGGGCACGCACGCACACATACCCAGCATGAGTTTCAAGCTGCCAGGTCTGGGACTTGAACAACGGTTGATCAGGTGGGAGTCCAGTGCCATAACCGCCACACCACCTGCTGCCCCTTCCCCCATTGGTATTTAAATTGCCAGAGGATATATGCCCTTACCCTAGAGAGACAGAGGGAGAAAGCATTCCTCATACTGGCTTGGTTATACCATCATCCCTTCTCCTCCATTTCACCATCCTGTTAGCATTTTGTGCATGTGTACACACGCATCTGGAATGTTTTTCAAACTTCTGATCCTGGGATTCGAATAGTGGTTGGTCATGTGGGATCCAACTCCTTTAACCACTAGGCTATGGGACATCTCCATCCATGCTTCTGCATTCTCCACCATCACCATCACCACCATCACCATTCCCTCACTCCCAGAAAAGCCCAAGAATCTTGGCAAAGCTCTGATGATTTGGTTTCTGCCGCCTTTCTGTTACCCGCCTCACACTTCAATTAAGCACTTTCCTAGTTTCAGATAGGCAACAAGCGTGTTTAGTCTGTGTATGTTCTAATGTGTCCTGGACTTGAAATGCTAGTCTCACCTTTGGCCAGTAATTACTTCCTTTTGAAAACTGATGTCACATGGGACCAGCAGATGGCATGATGGCTACATCACTGGACTCCCACATCACTCACCAAGGTTTGAGTCCCAGACCTGACGGCTTGAAAGCATCCCTAATACTGGCTTGGTTACACCACCATCCCTTCTCCATTTCGCCATCCTGTTGGGATTTTGTGCATGTGTACATGCTGGGTACATGTGCGTGTATGTCCATAATCCCAAGAGGACAGCGGAGAAGGGATTGTGGCATGGCCATCCCCCCTGGGGAGGGGGTGATTTCTCATTTTCTGTCTATCTCTCCATAAGTGCACGTGTCTTATAACAAAAATATGTCTAAAAAAAAAAAGAAAGAAAAGAAAACTGATGTTATGTAGAAAACCTCCCTGGTTCTTCATCTAATCTCTGGCCTCTTGCCTCTAGCTCTGTGCGTAGGTCTAGTTCATTTTCAAAATGAACTAGAGATATTTAATATTTCATGTAATTTTTCTTAACGTTTTGATTTATTTCCCCCAGAGGGCATAGAAGACAGAGAACTGCCCCTGGCAAGGTTCTGGTCCCACCAAACCTTTTTCCCACCAATTCTCCCTCCCATCAAGAGCTTGCTTAGCAGCGCCACCTGCTGTCTATTTTGTCCATGTAGCCAGGACTGGAAACCTCTATCAGTGCCCAAAAGCTGCCCTACCAGTTGTCCTAATTAATGCTATTTTTATTTATCAGTCTCCTAGCCCCAATGATACTATTTAATCTTTGCAGTATCTCCCCATAGCTGGATGTTGCACCTAAGAAATGTTTATGAGGCTGAAATGCACCTTTAGGTCACTAATTTCTCAACGACTTCCGCCACAGACGTGGGGCTCCGACTCCCTCAGCTATACCTCAAAATCACCATGCTTGCAAGCGGAACCAGAACACAAATACTTTTTTGCAGGTTTGACATATATCAGGCCATCATTACTCATTTTAGGTCAGGGGTCTAAATCTGGGTTCACCCAGACGCGGGAGAGCAGGAAGGGAAATCTTATTTCTAGGAAATAACTCCTTTCAGCCTGCTCTAGCGGAAAGGACAGTCGTGGGCCCACAACGGGGCCACCCAGGCCGAGAGTGAACTCCGTCCCCGCCTGCCACCGCTTCCCAGTCTTGGTTTTCAGGTGCGCATCATCCTGGGGGAGCCCCTTCCAAGCCCCTTGCAAAACGAACGTTTCAGGGCATCCCCTCCTGGACCCCTGCAACAGCAGCAGCCCACAGGACCCGGTGGGGGTCACCACGTGTGGCCACCCCCTCCCTACCGCTGCCGGAGTATTAGAGGGGAAGTCCTGGGGCTCGAGGTCCAGCATCCCGGAAACCTCGTGGGAAAGAAGGGCCGGAGGGGTTCCTCCATTTCTCCGGAGTTGCGCAAGAGATTGGACGGTCTGGTCGAGGTGGGACTCGGGCATCGCAGCCCGCGTCCCCTGCGCAGTC